TCATGATTATTAGTTGCAGGTGTTGTTAATTTGTTTTTCTTGAGCCTGCTTTCTCTTGCCCGTGTGAACCCTCGTTCCCTTGGAGCGGGTGTTGAGGCCCGTGTGAACCCTCGTTCCCGTGGAGCGGGTGTTGAGGTTACTATGGTGATCCTAGCCCATAATAGTTCGGCCTTTCCCTTTAAAAGGCCGGTGTTTGCCGGCAATAAACGTCGCCTTGATCAGACTCTTGTCTTGGCGTCCTTCCTTTCTCTCTGCCCCATCTCCACCCCGCTGCTCTTTCAGGTTTGAGGCACTGCGGGACAGTGCTCTGCGTCGCCGGTTCGCGACAACAGTCATCAGAAAACTTTGCTTCCCCTGGCTGGAAACAGCCACTTCTTCAAGGACTTTCACATGAGAAGTGATCTTTCCAAACAGTACTGGAAGCTCCGGTTCCCATCCAGCGTACCATCTCTAACTCCATTCGCCCACAGAAACAAAACAAAACAACCATGTCTCCTCTCCCAAATCAAAATACATGATCTACAGGTGAAACTCATACATAAAATGATTCACCACATGCAGATTTGAAAGGCAAGAGTCTGAATTCATTTCCTTCTCCTATTTCTTCACAAGGCGTTTCTTGCAATCATAGGTTAAGTTCATTCTCCCTTATTTTCTTTTAACATTTGAGCTGATTTTCCTTTGACATGCATCATTCTACTCCAAATGATAGAGGGGGAAGAGACTTACCCCCTGATCTGCTAGAATATTGAAGTGAGTTAACTAGAACCCCTCCCCATTGGCCTCTGCTTGAACTTTAGCCCTTTCCTCCCTACACTGCTTGTTCAAAATGATTAGTTCACCAGCACCCAGCTTACCTTGTGGTTGAGATCAAATGACAGGACATACCCTGTCTTGTAGTTAAGAACAAAGGACAGGACATGTCCTACTGTGGCCCTAAACATAACGATAGGAATTTCCTGCCAGATCCCCCACAAAATCGGATTTTAATCTAACGTGCGACCTGCCTCTCTACTCCTGTGCTTGCTCAAAGATGCGATCATGACATTCTATTTTGTGATTTTTCCCTTTGAAACTGGATTACCTACTTAATCGGTACGAAGGAAGAGGGCATAGTGAGCTCATCCTTGATCGCCAATTATAAAAGACTCCTTTAATTTAGACATTTTTCGTGGCGTGATTCTTTTTGCTGAAGCAGCTATAACATTCTGAAGTGCGAATTGGTGTTCTCTAAAATCAAAGAATGAATTCTAAGAACAGTGGCTAAGAGTAGGAAAAATTCATTGAGAAAAAGATAGCTTCTAAGAGATAGAAAAGGGACTAGAAAATGAGTTATTCACTTACCCAACTTCTCAAAGGTGTTTTATAGGACAAAGCCACAAAATGAGGCATATTCAAGGTGACACAAAACTATAATCAACTAGTGAGATTAAAAGTGTAGTCACTTGGGTAATGTTGATCAAATGGGGACCCAATGGGGAACAAGAAAATCATGAATGAGCAAAGATTTTCAGCAGTAAGGGGTGGGTCAGGGATCTTGGAAGAGCTTGGTCTCCCACCCAGGTGATTGATATCTATTTAGAATATCGATCACTGCTGTTCGTGCTTTGCTTTGCAGGTGTGGTAGTTTCTCTTCTTTTACAATGATGGCTTTTGATGAATATCTTTGTGAGACCTGACTGAGCTAAAGTGGCTCCGTGTTGGCCAGCTAATGGCCCAGAGACTGTTGTTTCATCCTCCCCTTATCTTCGACAAGGAAAACTGCTTATACCCGAAATGCTTTTAAGATTTTAGAACATCTTGTAGGCACCTGTTAACCATCAACATGTGGCTGCTGAATATGTGACAGCTGCCACCAGTGCGAATCAGCAAACCATGAACCTTTGCCACCTGACTGCGAGCTTTGAATGTTAATTCCCTCTTGTATCCCCTTATAAGAAGACCTCAGCCCCTGAGCTAGCGCCTCTCTGAGCTACTCAGCTCCAGGAGTGCCGTCTGGCCAGACTAATAAAGGTCTGTTTCATTTCCAACTTGTCCGGTGTGGTCCTTCCCAGGTGATTCTCATGTCTGTTGAGCTCCTCTGAGCGGTTGGTAAGGCTCTTGGTCTTACAATCTTGATTGATTCTCCTCCGTGTTGTCTCCCACTTCAGGACTCAACTAAGAAGCTTCTCCTGCCCACTCTTTGCAGCCAGAGGGATCCGCTGGTGTCCCGGATATGAGGCACACAGGGCCCAAGTCGGAGCAGCTCTTGGCTGAAGGTTCAGCTATCGCTGATTCCATAGGCGGTGACATCCAGCAGAGCCCATGAGGGGACGCTGACGGTCCTCTTTTGCCCTGAGAGGGAGGCCCAAGCATTGTCCGCTCGTGGTTTTCTCTGCTCTGTTACTGAGACCCCGCAGTTTCCAGAATGCCTCAGTCCTGGTACGTTTTTGTTCATTCTAACCCACTGGGGGCAGGTGATTCTCCCTGAGATTCGCTCACTCGCTCCACGGCAATGTGACGTTGAACTCTGGGGACACGGGGTGAGGCCTGCCTGGGCCAGGACAGGATGAGGACAGAACAGAAGAGTCTGGGGTTTGGGGATCCAGTGCTGCAAGAGAGGAGGAGCAGGGCTCCCGCGATGTGGGTTGTGGGGAAAGGGGGAGACCGGGCGGGGAGCCTCAGCTGTGGCTTCATAAGGCTGTGCAGAGCTGAACTGCGCCTCC